CATTTCTTCCTTTTGTCTCTCACCTCTTCCATTTTCTCTGTAGCTAATTCTCTACTTTTCTTTAACCTATTGATTAATTCGAAAACATATTCTATTACGGTATCTTCTTTTTCCTGAGGATCTAACCATTTCTCATACAATAATGCGACAGGTGTTCTGAGGTTGGTCCCGTACACTAATTCAGCTGGACTAAATCCTGTACTATCATGCGTTACTGTTCCGCAGGGCAAAGAGAGAGCGGCAGGTAATTGTACTTCCCAATTTGGGGCAGCTTCAATACATAATACCTTTAAGACCCTTTTTATTGACCTATGGAACCGTTCTACAGGATTGCTCTGGGGGTGGTAAACCGAACTTCTGGAAATTTTTATACCAAACCTCTTCAAAAATTCAACGGTTAAGCGACTCATGAAAGATTTTCCTTGATCAGTTTGAACCTCCCTTGGAAAACCCATCCGACTAAATACCTGCAAGAGTGCACTTACAACAGATTTCGACGTTATATCCGGTACCGGGACGGCGTCAGGATATTTAGATGCTAAGCACATAACTGTAATAAGATATTTATTACCTTCAGTAGATGTAGGCATAGGCCCGCAAGCATCTACATTAACCTTACTAAAGACTTCCGATATCACAGGTACAGGTACTATTACCAACGGTGCTTTCTTTTGTCACTTGCTTTTCCTACACGTTGACAGGAGTCGCATGTTTTAACGAATTCCTCAATGTCTTTATAACAATTTGGCCAGAAAAAAATGTCTTAGTAACCGGTCTTTTGTTTTCAGAACTCCTAAGTGACCTGAAGTTCCTTCATGACAAATTGCTTTAATTTGCTCTCTGAGGTTTTCTGGAACAACAATTAAATGTTCTTCTCCTCCTAACTTATTTACCTTCTTTTTTACTAAAACCCCATTTTTAATCCCATAACTTGTTTTACTTCCGCTTTTTACTAGTTCTAATAAAGGGGCAAGTTCTTTACTTTTTTGTTGTTCATCAATAAAAGTACTTGAGTCTATTTGAATCGCAGGACTTGTGGGGACACAAAGGTCGACAGGAGGCAATATCTCTCTGTTTTCAGACCTCTCATGAGCATCGTCCTCCTCTTCCAATTCTAACTCATTCTGCTCAGAATTTTGATTCGTCTCACATTAAATTTTCCGCTTCCTTAAATTGTCGTGCTTGAGATCGAGTAACGACCGCATTAACATTACCGACATACGACGAATAATTTTTCTCAGTTCCTCTGAGAAGAGCCGCTGTCTGGTTGCCTAATATATATCGTCCTTGGTCTAAGTGGTCTCCTATAACAGCTGCTTTGGTGGTTACTGTACCCAAATCGCATTCAATATCTACTTCAGCAACAGGTAAACAAGTCATATGATCATCCAACAAATGTCGAACCCACACATGTGTTCTCCCTTCATTCTATCTCTGTCTACATATTTCTGACAAATAATATCTACCGTTGCTCCTGTATCTCTTAGAATAGGTACTTCAAAACCATTTACTCTTCCATTTAACGTATAGGGATCTAACAGATTCTTCTCTGATCTCCCGCTTATCCGATACAAATCTGCCTTTTGAGTTTTAAAATTAGGGCACTGAGGACGTAAATGGTCAAAAGATCCACATTCATAGCACTGGAGTCTTTTTCTCCTATCAAAATTCGAGTCCGACTTTTTCCCAACATTGCGTGCATCATCATCTTTTTTAAATTGTGTGCCTTGAGGGTTTTTCTATTTTTGAAAACGTTACCAGTGGACTGAAAAACACCCATTTGTCTACCTGATATTTTCGTTTTCATTTCACCCAATTTCGTTTTCCCAACCATCGTCTTTTTCGCATCTTCAAATTCCTCTATTTTACCCACCAACTGTTTTGGTGAAGTGATCGTGGCCCATTCATCTATAAAATGTTCCTTAAACTCATTAGGCGTGCGCCTTTTAATCTGATCTACCAACATTAAATCCTTGAGTTGCTCAAATGTTTCGATTTTTAATCCCTTAAGCCACCCATCTAAAAAATGTTTTAATTTCGTGATAAAAATCGTACCACGTAGAATCCGGATTTTTTTGAGTCTTAACAAGAAGTTGCCGAAACTTCTCCGCACTTAACTTTAAATCTTTTAAGTAGTAATTCTTTAATATGTTGGTAATCTCTAGCCTGTTCTTCAGGTTCCCTAGCAATTATATTATTTACCTCAACCGGAAGGACACCAATGAGATATGACACCCATTGATCCGTGGGCAATTTTAGAACTTTAGCTTGCCTCTCAAAAAGTTCTAAGAATAAACTGATATCATCAGTTTTTAAATTAAACTTGGGCATAAGTTTCTGAAAATTCTGATTAAATACCGTTTCACCTCCAGGTTTAGCAGATTCAGTGTTCTGTTTTGCTTTAAGGCATTCTAGTTCTAACTGTTGCTTTTCAATTTCTTTATTTTGTTGTAGTATCTGAAATTCCCTCTCCCTAGCTTCCTGTTCTAACTGTAATTCTTTCGCTCTTGTTTGCTTCTCTAAGTTTTCCTTTTCTATCCTATCAGTCATAATACTTTCTAACAAATTTTTAACAAATTCTTCCTCATAATTTTTACTATTCGTTATTAATTGTTTTAAATCTATCACTTTCATATCTTCTAAAGCTATTTCCCCAAGTTCTGAAGCGACAAGGAATAGATCCCTTTTCTTAGCTTTTCCCAAAAATGCCATTTTCACAAAAGTAATTGCTCAAAACAAATAAGAACTCAAATAGTTATTCACAAATAATACACATAAAAATATATCAGAGATATAAAAAAACACTTTCTTCTTTCTTACAAAATTAGGCAAATAAAAATAAAAGGTTAATAAAAGCATTAATCATTTTGGATTTATTTCCATTCAAACATAAAACGAAATAAACAACCTTACTGAATACTTCGTATAAAAAAAATAACAAATTCTTTTCATTTAGTACAGCCAGACAGAAAAAAAAAACCAGAGTGGCGCCAATAAATATAAACACCTTTAATTAACTCTCGTTTTCATGACAGCTACTTCCGCTGGCAACCATATGGCCAACGCAATTACTACGTAAATTCGATAGGCGCAGGTTTAAATCAGAACACTATTAGAACATTTCTTTACTGCTCAAAGCTTTAAAATGTAAAATGAAATGATAAAAATTTAACATTCTACTTATCAGAAAAAACACATCATATTAAAATACAGCACTGGTGTGCTTTCATGAGAAAACCAAAGTAACAAGTTTTTAATATATTCAACAACTTATTTCTTTCACAAGAATTTAACATAAATTTTCTTCTAATGACTTAGAAATGAAAATTGCAATATTGCACTGATGTGCTTTCACATATACACAAAATAAACAGTTCAGATTCTATCACACCAATTTATAACGAAACGTTAAACATAAATACACTGATGTGCTGTTTATTTACGGGAATGGATTTTTCCCATTATCATACAAAAGAAAAATATCTCGTTAGATATATAAATGCAACACTTTGATTGTTTTAAAAACTCTTATGCACTGACGTGCTATAAAATGCACTGATGTGCTACGTGTTAATGGGAAAATGTTTTCCCGAATATACCACAAAAGGAAAATATCTTGTTAGATATATAAACCAAACACATTGAGTGTTTAAACTCGTATGCACTGATGTGCTACTTCTGCTTTGGGAATTGATTTCCCGAATAAGTAATAAATAACTACATTATACACTTCAGGCCTGGAAATGAATATTGTGGAGAACACATACCTGGTCTCTTGTCACACAAATCTCGGTTGAAACCTCCAATTTTTTTATTTCTTTTGTCTGTGACGTCGTGGATGCTTCAGTATCAACACTGGTAGTGGTGATCCATCACTTTTATTCACACAACGTAACACAGATACAACATTTAATTAATACATTTAGAAAAACTTGAGTACATATCCGAGTTGGTGACACGATCAGAGACGTTAACGAAGATAGCACTCGTCATCACTGGACAAATTTAGTCTCCACACCTCAGCTCGCTGGCGGAGCTTTTTCAACACTCTTCTCTGACAGGCGTCTCACAGAAATCTCATCTCTTTACGCATGCGTAATTCTCAGTTAAGTCGTTGCCATTCACAGTTCTTTAAATAAGGTGTTAAAATGAATTATAGTACTCGTACTGTGAGGAGTTTGCTAACGACGTTCTCTCTAGTCAAGAGCATCATAGGTCTTTCTAGTAGAGTTCAGGAGCGTTCTTTACAGCAGCTTGTAGACTAAAGTATTATGAAATTTATGTACTCAGTAATTTTAGCCTTTGTTGAATGAGTGGCTTTATAATTCATTGTTGAACAGAATAAAACAGTGTCTTCTGGTTTTAGTTATTTTATTATTTTTACCTGTAAAAATTGTTAAAACCCGTGAGAGAGATTCAAAGTTTTTTTTTTTTTTCATCTGGCTTGTGTATTTAGATTTCTGTAAACTACTAAAATGCAAAAACTGGTACTAGAATGAGATCTTTTTAGTGCTTGTCACTAAATGACTAGAAAGAATGTGCAAAAGTAATAGTAATAGATATAGTTACTGTTAACTGAGAATTAAGTTATTGTGAATTATACTAAGATGAAGGAGCGAAATCATAAATGCCAAAATAACAACTTCTCTATTATTTTGAAGATGAAAAAAGAAGTAAAAGAAAAGATCAGTAAATTAAAGGAAGATGTCGGAGACATAGTGCAAAGAAGATATTGATTATCCAAAAAAAAAGGGGGAGGGGAGTGAAGACTGTGGAACATAAGATGAAAGGTTATTGTATATTATGCAGTTGTCTTTTATTTACTTTATAATGATATTTGATAAGACTATTATCTTCATAATTTTTTATATAATTTTTGTCTTAATATTTTGTGTTTGAGTCTTTTTTTTTTTTTTTTTTTTTGAAGTGATTCTAAGTATATGGTTGAGTTCTCTTGTGTAAATTGTATTATGTTTAAAAGAATTACTATCTGATTTCAGTGTGAAATGTATGGTGATTGCCAATGATGCAACTGTAAAAGGAGGAACTTACTATCCTGTGACTGTTAAAAAACATTTAAGGGCCCAAGAAATTGCTCAAGAAAATAAACTTCCTTGTATTTATCTGGGTAAGAAAACTGTGCCAGTATAATTTTTTTTCAAAGAAATTTTGATTTAATAAGGTGCTTGTCATTTCTGTTTCTCTTCAAAATCAGACAATATTTAAATCTGGTCATCTACATGAAAGAAATAATTTTAGCGGTAAAAGTTTTACTACTTTAAAATTTGAAATTACTTATTATCTCTTTATTATGTGATATGACTGCATATTAATTAAATGTTAAAGTGACTATATAACTAATAAATTTAAGACATTGCTGTGAATAATAGGAATCATTGCAGTGTGTTTTGGATGTAAAACTGGGAAGGTTAAAAATTTTTCCTGAGAAAGAAAATATGGTGCTTATGTATTATCCCATCAACTGTGAAAACTGACTACCATGGAAGTTGGTGGAAATTTGTGCCAGTGTTCCTACAGAATTTTGAAGGAATTAACATTTGTTTATTTAATAAACAATCAGTTGTTTAATAAACAACAGACTCACTTCATTTTTGTGTTTTGCAATGTTTCTAATAGATGTCTCTAGTAATCCAGGAGAGATTGAATCGTAAAATCAATTCAAGGATAGGTTTTACCACTTTTCATTAGGGGGAGAAATTCAACAATTTCGTTTGCACATGCTCAGTGTATTAGGCTTTGCGAATAGTATTACTTCCCAATTTTGTCATGAAATAAAAGAACGATGGGTGACAGTGAAAAGCTCATAACAAAATATAATTCTGATATTGGATCAGATAGCAAATCTGAATTTTCTATAAATGATTAGGGCAGTCCTGAAAGTTCTTTATCTGAATTCTGCAGTAATGATGAGGAAACGGAAAGTTCAGATGATCTTATTTAGGCATGGAACTTAAGAAATGGATACTAGTAATCCTCTTCCACCACCGCCACAATTTCTTTCACATTTGTCGCCTGTTAAATGTTCTTTCCAGTTGTACAGTTTCGTGAGAAAAAAGCCAGCTTTAAGTAAAAATGCCTTAATTTCAGCATAATTAAAAATTATCTTGAATTAATAAATGCAATATTTGTAACAGTTTTGACTGCTGATTTAAATTCATATAATCAATTAGAATGCAAAATTGTTTATAAAAAATATGCTTATTTTTGGTCACAATATGAGAGGAAAATGAAACTGTTAAGTGGTAGGATTCCATAACTTTGAAATTAATCCACTGCTTGATGTTTTATTGAAGGTAGGTTCCAAATTTAATCTTTTTATAATACAAGAAAAATTACAGCTTTAACAGTTAATTTATAGCTTTTCTCTAAAAACAAAAAATTATGATGTGTACACCACATGACTTTCTTGTACAGAATATTGAACTATATACACTTTTGCTGCAATTCATTTAAACTTATTTCTTCAGATTTCATTAGAGGTATATTTCTCATTCAAATAATTCTCAGTTCACGGCAAAGCAAAAATACATAAAATATCTTCATAAAAATTGAAAAATAAAGGGGAAAAAATAAAACACCAAGTACAGTTAAAATAATTAAAAAACCATTTTTACAGCTAAAATTGGAGTTTCTATGCAAAAACAAGCAATTCGGCCAGCAGGCAACAAAGCAGACTTTTCGGTGCACAAAAATGAGTTTAATTTTGGTTCCATTTGGCAAAAAGACTGTGAAGGTGCAGAAGCTGATTTAATTCACTATTCTGCTAAGTTTCAAATGTAAATAAATATGGTAAACAAAAATTGTTGATAATTCTACAATTATTGCCTGCAGATTAACTAAAGGCATAAAAACTTAACCGGAAGATAAGAAAACATAATTCAATCATTTTTAAAGGAAAAAATGCGTAATTTACCAACATATAAAAATTAAAAAAAAAAAAAAAAAAAAAGTTAGCTCACTGAGCATTGGGAGGTTTATATAACAGCATATTTAATTACATTTAAAGTATATTTACATTTTTACAAATAAGTTAACATAAACTGAATTAACTTTTGTGATACACTTTTATTTACGTCTTTATCGTTGTCATTCTTTCACTGTGTCTAGAATCTAACTCATTTCACTGCCAACTGACAAGCAAAAAACATTAAAAGAATTATACAATGAGCAATCTGTCCACCATCTGGTGTTCAACATTGGCCCTACATAAATCCTAGATAAACGTAATTAAAAGTAAATTAAAAAGCCTATGACTTGTGCTAAAGCTGCCAAATAATAAACTGATAATTCATAATAATTTATAAGAAAACTTTCCATATACCATCTTGCAAGGAACAGAAATTCAATTTAAAATCCTGAATTAGGAATACAAAAAGCTTTTTTTTTTAGTCAGTATTTTAATTTGTATTTGAAATTAGTATTTTCTAGACCTCCTTTGCTTTAAAAACGTAAAAATATGCAAAGAAAATTTTTAATTGCAAAAATACCAAAATCAAAAGTAAAAATTTTAAGTATAGAAAAAGTAGCCTTTGTCATTGATTGTAGAGTAATCGACTTAGCAAGGAGAATAAACTAATCTACCATCAATTAACAATAACTAAATTAAGAGAGAGTGTTTTGTCTTACTTCAAAGTAAGCATCAAGTTTTTTGCAATATCAAAATCTTAAGTCACAAAATAATACTCAATCAAAATAAAAACATTAGTTCATTTAAGCCATAAGAATTCTGTTAAACAAAATAAATAGAAAATAATCTTTAAAATTAAAGTTGCTCACTAAGAATACAACTAAATGGGATGCTCACTTTAGAAGATATATTCCCGACACTCTCATTTTCAATTTCTAATACAAAAGTAAAAAGAAAAGTATTAGAATATGGAGATTTCCTGTTATGTTTTACCACCAATCCTCGAATTCCATATCACAGATTATGTTCTTACTGCATTAATATAAATATTAACAAGACATAGTGCACAATAAAAATTAAGCTTTATTTAGGAACATCGCGCATACACTCCCCCCCCGACAGCCTGCCTGTTTCGCTCTGCTCGCTACTCGTACTCGTAAAAAACTTCTCCTCTAGGGTTGCCACACTTATCGGAGGGCGCAAGGCGTGCTCCTTATCACCATCACCACAGAGTTTCCCCCCCCCCCTTCCTTTAAAATGGCTATTTCAAAGGAACGACATAGGTTATGAAATTATCTCAGAGTATCCGTGCTGTCGGGTATTTTTTTTTATGATTACAAAATTAGAATATAAAAATTAGAAAAAGATTAAAAATGCAATTCAATATATAACAAGGTATTGACACATATAATAAACATGAAATAACAAGAAATATGTTAAGATATGAATTTAAAAAAAATTTTTTAAATTGTTATGTAAGAAGCAAGTTTCTTAGGGAAGTGAACATGTCTTCCCGATCTGGTGACAGTTTGTGTATTAGAGAGTTCGTTTGCAGATTTATTTCTGCTGAACTGCCTTTAAGTCTTTATTTGTTTTCAGTTCAGGCAAATTAGAGTCCGAAAGCAAATAGGCTGGTTTCACACGGTCTATAGACACAGTAGATTTTAGACCATTAATATCAATTGTGAAAGTTTTGTTCGTTCTAGAAAGAACTTTATGCGGACCTGTATATGGTTGGCACAGAGGTGGCTTTACTCGATCGACACGTAAGTATACATGCGTACACGATTTTAAGGTAGCACTTACGTAACATTTTTCTTGGCAATGTGCAGATGTTGCTATTGGATTCAATTGTTGCATTCTATGCCGAAGATTCGTGATAAATTGTGTGTCATACGGAGATATCTTAGATGACGTTATCATATCACTAGGCAGCTTGAGAGTTGTGCCGTACACCAGTTCAGCACAAGATGATTGTAGATCTTCCTTTACGGCTGTCCGAATACCAAGCATAACAACTGGTAGTGTTTCAGTCCAGTTATTGGTCTCGTGAGCCTTGAGAGAAGATTTTAAATGTCGATAAAATCGTTCAACAATGCCGTTGGACATTGGATGATAGGCTGTTGTTGTGATTCTGTTTGTACCCAAAATGCGCGTAAATTCTGCAAAAAGTGCGGATCTCATTTGAGAACCTTGGTCTGTTGTTATGATCGATGGGCAGCCAAAACGAGATATCCAACAGTTGAAGATGGCTCTGCAAATGGTTTCCGTTTTCATATCTGGGATGGGAATGGCTTCAGGCCATCTGGAGAATCTATCTATTAGAGTCAAAAGGTACACGTCTCTTCTGATGGAGGTAACGGTCCGACGATATCCATATGGATTTCTGAAAAACGTGCATCAGGAAGAGAGAATGTGCCCAGTGGTGCTTTAGTATGCCTAGTAATTTTCGATTTTTGGCAAGATTCACAGGATTTCACCAAATTTTTGATATGATGTTTCATATCCGGCCATACATAACGAAAACAAATAAGTTTCGTAGTAGCTGCAATTCCTGGATGTGACAGATTATGCAGATGATTAAAGATGAGTCTGCGAAAGGAATTCGGAACAAATGGACGAGGAATGTCTGTTGATATGTCACAAAGAATATTACCATCAGAATATTGGCACGGTTTAAATTCCAGTTTCAAAGATGATGTGTTGTTTTTGAGAAGGTCTTGTACCTCCGGATCATGCCGTTGAGCTTCTGAAAATTTTTTAAAATCCAAAAATGGAGATTTTGTTATGGAATCAATTTCGATTCTTGAAAGAGTGTCAGCAACGACGTTTTTTGAACCTTGCACATGCCTAATATCAGTAGAGTACTGAGAAATAAAATCTAAATGGCGCAATTGTCGAGGTGAACATTTATGAGGGTTCTGTTTAAAAGCGTATATTTACGGTTTTTGATCCGTATAAATTATAAAATTTCTGCCCTCTAACATGTGTCGGAATTTCTTAATTGCAGAATAAATTGAAAATAATTCCCTATCGTACGCGGACCATTTCTGTTCACTTTTATTGAGTTTCATAGAGAAAAATGCTATAGGTTCCCATGTTTGTTGAGACAACTGCATAAGTGTGCCGCCTATTGCGACGTCTGAGGCATCTACCCAGATGCTTAGCTGGGCTCCGGGAATAGGGTGTCTCAAAAGGGT